TCACCAACATCAGATTCATCATCAGCATGGAAATTAGGCTGCCATCGTGCAGCTGTGGTAATGTGTATGTTGACAGGTTATGGAAATATGGGGGCTTCTATAAATGCAGGTGCTTCATTCTCAATCCCTCTTTGATTGAACATAGAATCTCCGCTCCAAAATTATAATACATTTTCAACAATAGCTTTACGGTATGCTTTAGGACAGAATCGCAGAATTCATGTGTTTTGAAGACGATGCCACGGGCATGGACTATTAGATTCTGTAACTGTTCTCCCTGGTAAGCAGGTAATTAAAAGGGCAGAGGTACAGGTGATAATGCTCCACTTGCTAAATTAGGACACAAAAGCTGTCTGGAATAGGGTGCAATAACACAACATTTTAGATGTTATTATTTTCATTGCCATAATTGAGACAGATTGCCGGTGATGCAGAATGTTCGGTCATTTTAAGGTTGAAAAGATGGAAAATAGGCTTTCAGCAAATACAAATTCACCCTTGTAAAGTCAATGTGTATTCAGGGACAGCAAATGCATTTCTTTCTTTGGCACAGTAACATTCTGCTGACTCCAAGGCGATATTTCTGATTTGTTTGACAAAAGAAATACCTAGTTGCCAGTATAATGTCTCTGTTGATTTCCAGTGTCCCCCGCTTCCAAGTGGTAAGATCCTGAAGCAGATGAAGACTGAATATGAGAAATGGCACAGTTAAAGCATTATTCTGGCAATAACTATGCAGTACATTTCTATTCACACTTACAAATGCAAATCACGAGTGCAATCATTTAAAAATCTGTCACTTCACATTTTCTTTGTGCTTCCAGGAAATAATTAAACTGGAAAGCCAGATTTCCTTCGCTCCAGTTCTGAATGGATGCTCGCAAAGCTACACTCCCTTGCCTCTCTGTGCTCTTCCTCCACCTCTGTATAACTCTCTATGACACATTAAAACACATTAGCCCTCCCTAATACAGCTCGCAGAGAGAGGGATAGAGGCAGTGCATGTGTACAAATGAATCAGTGCTGTTTGTTGTACTGTTTCGGGCTGGAGCCGTTTCAAGTATCTTCTCTGAGAGAGCCGCAGATCATGTTTAGTAAGCTCGCCCTCATTATATCAGACCCTGGGGAGAGAAGGGCCCTCACTCCATACTATCAAAGCCATGGAGCTGCCTTCGAGGACATGCTTCAGTATGAATAGAGGCTACAGAGTACATACAAAAAGTTGCATGCTCAGCCCTCATCACCTCTCTCAGTGGGAAGCTGTCAACATTCAAGGTTTTGATCAAGCCTTGCCGTAATGGCTGTGGGTGACAGGTATACGAGACCATGGTTGTGGGAATAAATAGCTAGATTAGCATAATGCATCACCAACAAATTCAGCCTTCAGTGCGTGTGAAAGAACTACTTTTTGCCTGAGTGCTGCATTCATACACCGTCTGGGATCGTATTTCATAGGACAAACTCACAATTATGTAAACAGGATATTTACCTGTGCACCCTTGGAAGGTAATGTAATTTACTTCCAGCGTGTGCTCGATAGTCCGTCATGTAGTCTGTATCTCTGGCTGCTTTGAAAAGGCTTTGCAGCTCCTATTGTCCACGGAAAGCGTATATTCTTTTCAGCAATCATAATTCACCTGATACACGGAGAGCTTACCTCCAGAAATCCCAGCCATATTGATCCATCTGGAACTGAGCGACATCGCTATAAACAGGCTAATCTAACATAAAAGCTGGCCTTTCAATATGCCAGCCTGTTGAAACGATTTGGCTGTGCCGGATAGCAATGAATACATAAATAGATAAATGAGACACACAATCGGAGGCTCGGCCTGCATTGCATCCATATAACTGGAGGCAACAGCTCTGGAATGGGTGATTATTTGGAATAATATCCCTTACATTTGGCAGGTGTTTAGCACCGCTGGGTTGGGAATGGGGATGACAAAGACGTGAAGGTGGCTCTCATCAGTCAAACTCCTGTCTTCTGTGTTCTTCTACCTATATCTTGCATCTGAACTTTGTGACCTTCTGCCATTCTCACGTGTGATTAATTGCCACTTAAGACTGTCCAACTTTAATTTATGGGATAATTACCAAGCGAATGTGCGCTTTACCTGACTAGTTGCCAGACCAGACTTATCTCTGACTCTCCCTTCCATTCTCCTCTAACCCCCTGCCTTGTTGCTGCCTGACTTGCTGCCAGTAGGCTGAGGTTAGCGCAATAATGGTAGAGGGGGGGGGGGGGGGGGGGGGGGTTCAGAAACCCTTACATCTGCCAGGATTACAGCAATTCATTGTAACCTTCAGCAGCCCTTGCCAAATGCTCTCATAACACTTACTGGGCAGTTTTGCACTCTGGAAGGCACCAGTAGGCGATGTTGTACAGGGGGTTGTATACCTTTAGAGAAAACACATGGTTTAAAGTGAGGTAGGGGAAAAGGGCTTTGAGATATCCGTGGAGATTTGTTGAATTAAAAATACAGACTTTTTAATAATTTTCTTTGATGAATTATTTAAACCCACAGCTGTGTTTCGCTCCTCTCTTTGGACATTATTCATTCATTGACATTTTGCTAGGATGGAAATGATCAGGATGTTGAAGAGGGGATTTGTGCCTACAGTGAACAGAATGATGCTCGATTTAGTAAAATGTGGTTTGTTCCTCTCCCAATTTATCTTCCTTTGTGAGGATTTATCTAAATCAGGTGGATTTAGGGGACATTTTTATCCTGCTTAACCCCGCTCCACATTAATATGCACAATAGGCAGTGATAAGATTGTGATAGCATGTTAACCACGGAGAAAGGAAACAACACCATCCCTGCTCAGATACCGAGGGACCTTTTGGTTCTGTTCTGACTTATCTCTACTTGGAACAATCAATCTTAATGAGCATTAAGAATGTTGATTAGTGGTAATCCACAGGCCTCCCTAAAGTCACGCTGAATCTTTTCAGCCTTAATACGTATTGAACACTAATTAAACCCCAAATTAAACTTTCCTATGGAGTATGTCAGTTCTCTCGTCGGTATCCAACAACCCTTTTTTCCCATGACCCTTCACATGCTAAACCATATTTGTATTCCAAAGGTTTGCCTACGTCACATTTATATTTAATAAGGAATACTACAGTACATGTCATCTTCCTCTATAATCTAATAAGTTCATGTAAGACTATAAAGTATTTTAATTATATACAGTATTAAATATTCAGTTTGTAAAATAAAATGTATTTGAAGGAGCAATCCTGAAAAATGGCGGAGATGTTTATCATTTACTTTTATTTGTAGAAATATATTGTATCACCACATTGACTTCATAGTCAGTAATACATTGTCTCGCCTATGTCTTATTTCAACCAAAAACTATTTAATTAGATGAATAAGCATGCATTTTATTCCTAGCCTCTTAGAATTTAATTGCATTTCATTCATAGAATAAAAATGGTTTCCCGCAATAGCTGTCATCCCATAAAAATGCTTTATTTTGACTAAATATCGCCTAGCACATAATGAGTTTATTAAATGTATATCTGTTAAAAGAATAATATCTGCTATGCTGTAGCAAGAGATTAGAGCTGCCAACATAGGTGATGATTTTGCTATCGATCCACCAGTTGTTTTTGTGCTCCGTGAAGAACAGAGCTGTTTCCAGCAGTTCTGGCAGAGAGCTGCTAGCCTCTGGCAGCTACTCTGCCTTCTGAGCTGAATGTGACCAACAGCTAAACATGTCAAGTATATAGGCTGGAGTAGCAGTTGTTCCGTGAAACAAAATGAGTAAAGGTTTTTTGTTCTGCTTCAGTAAGGACACAAATGTGTATTACACAGTTACACCTGTATGTGGTATTTCAGTGTATCTAGATTAATAGTAATTTGGCTTCAATACATCAGTAAGATTTGCAAAATGACACTGTGTCTCTCTGTGTGTTGAAAGCAGGCCCGATTCTGACTCCTGGCTCCTTCGAGTGTCCCGCAGCCTCCAGTGCAATTAATGATCTTGCTTACAACATTAGCGCCACAATCATGAAAAATCGCACGAAAGCACAGAGTCCCCCAACATATTGAGCTCAATTAATCACAGGCTTCATGCTCATTGGCGATGTCAAACTTGGTCTCAGCGTTATTGAGTGCCATGGTAATCAAGTACCTGCCATATGCTCCCAGGAGTGATTCTCTTTTTGTTCATACAGTTCACGTAGAGTTATGATTTGTCTGGACATTCAGCTAATGAATCATCTTATTTCTGAGTTTTACAGCATACTGTCTCTGGCACTCAGAGAAAGTAAAACTCACAAATCCATAAAGTGTCTTTGTTAATCCATTGTTTTCACGGTGCTTGAGCATTCGGAGCGTTATAATTTATCTAGAAAACAAGTGCACCACTCCTCAATACTGTTTCAAAGTGAAAAATACAAACATGATTAGAATTTTTCCTTTCAGACTTTCTGTCCTTTGTTTTTTATAAGCAGAGAGACACATGAAGGCAGACCATGGGTCCAACATCCAGTGTGGTATGCTGGGAATTCAATTTTTTTGAGGTTTTAGACCTTCAGGATTGTCAAACCATAGTCTATCTCTTGATATTTAAAAAATGTAATCCATGTCAAGGAGCCATTCTTTTCACTGCAATCTGTAACTAAATCAAGATTGTAGAGATTGCTTGTTATGCCGTCAATGTCTTTGCACCTTTGCAGAAGTGATGGCACATCACAAAGCCGTACTTTAGAGTTGCAGGCTATCAGAATTTATATTAAGGAGGGGGAGGGGAATCATATTGTGTAGTTCAGGGGATGCAGAATAGAGTTGGAGTTTGACAGACAAAACGCAGGGTGTATCAGTGGCATGGAGACAGGGACCATCAATCAACAGACAGCTTTCTTTAGCGTTATAAATCACTTCATTGCCTAAAGGGCATCATCTGTCCCCATCTCCTAACTTCAGACGGAAAGTGTGTAGTGTAGTTCCTCTTACAGATGGGATGAACAACCGATATGAACCGCTTGTTCTGTTTATTTGCATCTTCAACAATCATAGACATCCGTATGTCTCCCAGCACTGTAGCACGTACACACAGGACATCAACACCAGTTTGCCCATCCTTTGTCACAGCAGACAAACGCATGGATGTTTATCCTACACCAGAAAGAAATACTCAGTAGCACAGTAAATCAAAAATAGTCTGCCTAATTTAAAACAGCATGTAAAACTAAATAACAAAATAGGTTACAAACCAAAATCAGTGCATTATGTAGCATATACAGTAAGCAAATACTGTGTGTATGGTCACATTGGGAGGGAGTGCTAAGCAGATCAGAGTTCTTAACAAAGAGAAGTAGAAGTTCATACAGTAAGATAAACAGTTTGTAACACTGAATCAGTCATTGATCTTTTCGCTGTAAACAAAACCAAGGCGCCAGAACAATTAGTAGTAAGGGTTAGCGGAAATGTAACAGTTCAGCCCATGCTGTAAGCTCTGCAATGCTGACAGATTGAACCAAATATTTTTTTCATTGTATCAGGTGTAAGTGAATTTGATCACATCGATGCATCTATAGGTGCCATGTTACTAGATTCAAAGTATCAAAAGCTGCAGATTAAATTCAAACCACTACATACATGCCTAATGACATTTTATGTTGGTATTGAGTATCATACAGCCTTTTTTAGATTCTTTATAATGCTGATGGTCCAGACTGAGTCATGATATGAAATGCTCATTGGAGAATATAGAATGTGAAGTATTGCTGCTATATACTGTATGTGCATTCTATGCAAGCATAGAAATAATAAACAAACTGTAGCATATTCATCATATACAATATCTTTGTGCCCCGCATTGGCCACCATTGTGGCATTATACACTTCAGAACTAACATATATGCATTTATACATGCACGTCTAGTGCAAGATATTTTTATTTTTTTAGAATTTTTGTTTATCCATAATTTGGAAAATTCCTCATCTGGGGACATCTATCTGGTCCTACTCAAGTGGACCGATTACTGAAATGAAAACCACACAAGACCCTATCACAGGTCTGAAATTAGCGTTTTTAGCTCAACGGTGACAAAAATAAATACCAGAAAGTGACACTATGCGCAAAGTGATACGTTTATTTTGTCCATAAGTGCATTGAACATCAGTCATTTATATGCATGGGGTTATCAAGCGTAGAAGATGAGCTCAGGAATCTGCCCCCCCTGCACCCCAGTGCCATTAGTGCTGTCCGAGGAGCACTGGTACTGAAATGTCACTTTCCCACACTGCACCTCTGTCATCCCTTCCTGTCCAAAGTAGCTGAGCTCATTCCCATCCAGAACCACACTAGCAGTGTAGAAGGTGTCGGGCTCGATCTGCACTGGATACTCAAACCACACTGGGAAGGTGTTGCTGGAACCATCAGAGAAGTATTTGCTGAGGTTTTGTCCCAGCATTACTCCTTGACGTTTCAACTCAATCTTGGCACTGTACTCTGCTGATCCACAGCTAGATCCATACAGACCAAACCCAGCGATAAAAACTCTTTTATCCACTGCAAACTGTATGCTGTCGCAGCGGCCCCGATAGCGCCACTGATTGCTTCGGTAGGCACATGACTGGAATCTGTGGCAGCGCTGGGGTGTCAGACCTTTTCTAGGCATGCTGACAAACTCCAGCTCAGGCTTCTTTGCCGCTGTGTACCACAGGAAGATGTCATTGGTCTCATTAAGTGTCAACACTCCCGACTGGGCTGCTCCATTGGCAAAGTCATCCAGAGCCATTGTAGGGATACGTATCAGGTACATGGCCTTGCCCAACACCTTACGCCTGTTGTCAGTCGACAAGGTGAGGTCCCGTCTCTGGCACTCAGCCTCAGCCCAGCTGAGTGCCGCTTCAAACACCACTATCTCTTTAGCATTGAGTGTCTCGCGCTGTAGGATACTCTCGAGGGTCTGGGAGTCGATGTCGCAGAAGCCCTCCGAGCATAACGCCAGCTCGGCCTGGGCATCAATCACTTCCCAGCAACGCTGCGTCAGCTCCGGCTCCTCGAACAGGCAGCTCTGGGAGAGTAACACGCAGGCATTCTTGGCGCTCAGACTGGTCTCCAAGAAGTTGACGCAGGCACGTGCCAGGTGAGGGACAATGTACTTCTTGGCAGCGTAAAGAGTGGCCAACACTGTGTCAGCACTCAGGTCAATTTCATCACAGTAAATGTACCTGTTGAAATAAAAATGAGTCTTTCTCAGCTTTATAGACAACATGGTGTAAGCATGTTTATTAAGCAGATAATGTTATTATAAAAACAGACCTGAAGGAGTTATAAATAGTAATGTTGTATATACTATATTTATATATACAGTACTTTATGGTTAAAACAAGTACTGTTGAAGAGTTAAGACAAAGGAGAATCCTTACTTCAGCATTGCCAGAAATGCTGCTGGTTCCACATCTGGAATATGGATTTCATCATCGTTCTCAGCAAGTTCCCCATAAAACATGGCATGGAACACTGAGCTGCCCACAGCCAAAACATACTGTTGGAAGAAAAGGAAACAAAGTAAAAGAGTGAAAACAGGAATACAAACATGCTGTATAGCCTGTGATTTCACTGGAAATAACATAACGTGTAGTAACATTCAGTAATGGAGAAAGATTATCTGTCCTTTATAATTGTCATAAATCCAATTAGTTCACATGTAGCTCCTACTCTTTACATACAAAATCAATCAATGTGTGGGTGTTGAACAATGCCTCAATTCTAATCACTGGAGAGACTGAACCTGTTGAGCTTCTCACATAATGAACCGAGCTCAGCCAGTTACCATTTTCCCTGAGGACGAGGAGGCACATTTCTAATGAACAAGATTGTCTCTAATTTAAACAAAAAACTAAACAGGAAATCCTAATAACACAACTATAGAGAGTTCAGCAAAAGTTCAATTAGCTAAAATTAATTACTTGAACCTATGATGAAATCAGATGCAACACAATGCTACTAATTCCAGTGATAAGCACTGTGTTCAAGGCATGCATTTTGTTATTGTACTCAAGTACATCCATGTGTGTGAGTGTGTGTGCAGCATAAGTATGCGTTGGTGGGTATGTGGGTGGTGTACATTTTCACAAAAATAAAAAGGCACATACCCAATTTGCCTTGCAAAAAAATTTTTGGAAAACAATGCACATTTTTTTACACATTGAAATTCATTAAAGCATGAGTATTTAAATGCTGCATATTAGAATATGATTAGTTCCATCTTCTGACCCATTGTATTTTACAAATGTTCACTCTGCTTTTAGCTGCATAAGGCATCCCGTATTTTGTAAGAAATATAACTTTAGAAATTAAATCATAATGCACATCTGAGTTCCGGCCAAATGGACACAATAAAGATTGCGGTATTGAGCGTCATTATATTCCACTGGCATAATGTCTTGGCATAAAGTGCAGTCAAGTCATCTTCAATTTCCTTCTTTCCATAACGGCTTTCTTTAAATGCATGGAAGAAGTGCACTGCAACTACCAATCATAGATAATACTTTTGGGTCCCATATAAAGAACAAAAAAGATGACCCATGCAGGGCTCATCTGTCTGGGTAGATGTGGAATGGCCAGCCGAGGGAAATTCATGGCTGCAAAATCACTTACCAGATTGAATGTGAATGTTATAATCATATTCCAAATGAGTACACGTAATGATGTTCTTTTAGATGAGCCACATGGTGTAGGAAGCTATACACTTTAATCATTGATGTGAACATCTTGGAAAAGGCAATGAGGTCAGAGGGAGAACTAAACATGAAGCATGTCGACCTCCATGTTGCAACCGGCGTAAACAGGATGAATTTGGGTCTAATTATAATACTAACGGTTATAAAGTCGATTCACTATAACCATACATCCAGAATTCTAAAGCTAATCAAGTGAAGGGATATAAAAAGTATTTCTAGGATTTGAGACGCAGAGTTGAATGCATCTTTCTCTATTCCTTATCATTGTGGCTGTGTGCTGTTAGACGTGTTTGATTAAAAGTTGGGTAATTGCAGAGCTGTCTCTGAAAAGCTGAGCTAAAGCAGAGACAAAGGCGATCCATTCTCCGAGATAACTGCTGAAGAGGATATCCCTTCCTCCTTCCCTCAGCCTCATTTACATAAATAATTGAGGACTGTCTAGAAAAGACACATGGTGCGGAAGTGAGACCTGAGCACAAAGGATGGCAATTATATTACTGCTGGCATGGGGAGGATTATTTTTTATGCTGATATGATATGAATAACTGTGCTGGCTGATTACTTGTTTGCTAATTTCCTCGCTGCAACCGTGACTTTAATCGTTGATGAAATTCTTACTCTGTGTCCCGGCAGCCGCTGGGTCCTTCCAGGCTGACCCACCACAAAGTGAACATCTGCCATCAGCTCATTGTTGAACATTACTGAATTTCTAAGAAGGGAAAGAAACAAATCAAAACAGGAGAAATCAATCATCCACATTTATACCCTGTACATTTGTTTTAGAAGAGAGGAAGGGGAGAAAACCCACAACTAAAAGTTATAAGAGTGACATTAAAGGAGGATCAATGCACATAAACCCATAAATATATATATTTATGCGATTAATAAGGCTAATACAAATTAGGCTTTGGCAAAAATCCAAGCAAAAATAGTAAACTACATATATTTTCTCCTTCTCTTCAAGCAAGAGTTGTGGTTATATAAAGTGTCCCAATTGCTTCAGGCAAGACAGTACATGGATTGAAAGAAAGTCTTACATACCACACTTACACAAACTTAAACACTTTGTGCCTACATAGAGAAAAACTGGTGAACAATCCAATTAACTAAATGGAAAATCCCCACTGTGAAAGAATGGGACAAACAATGAAGCTGCGTTCATATATTATTGAGTACTGGAACATGTGACAGGGGTGGGTAAACAGCCCCATGCATTTCTGGAGAGACAACAAAGCGGAGAGCACACATTTAGCTCTGTACAGCTGGGTTCTCTTACTGATAGGCCAAGGTAAATATTTAGCTTTTAGTACAGAGCAGCATCTGCCTGTAGTGCATATCAAACGCACCCGGTGCCTAACCACCCTCCGTTATGTCAAAGCGGCAAAGTCTGCAGGAGCATGGGAGGGTGTAAACAGAGATACCCCCAGCAGATTAAGGGCAGGGCAGAGGGAACACATACACACACAAACACACACACACACACACACACACACACACACACACACTTGTGAGACCACCTCAACAAACACACACACTTGTGAGACCACCTCAACAAACACACACTTGTGAGACCACCTCAACAAACAAACACACACTTGTGAGACCACCTCAACAAACACACACTTGTGAGACCACTCAACAAACACACACA